CCCACGGTCCTGTCGATCCGCACTCAATCTACCAGCCCTTAACAAGGTGGATTTTCGGGCACGGTGCTTTGAAACTGGCGATATTGTGGATATGGCATTTGTCTGCAGCCAATGTCTCAGTATCTTTAAAAAGAAACCCAAGGAAATATGTCCGACATGTCGAGCAAACATCAAGGTATCCAAAAAACAAGCCATTGGCAACAAAGGATTGTGATGGTGTTCTTGGCCTGTTGGCATATTATATCGATTCGATTCACAGCACTGAACTTGATTCTGGTGTCCTTCAAAAGGGGGGAACTATTCAAGTGTCACTTACTTATTTTGGAACTACAATTCGCTTGCAAACACACATTGATGCATTCGGTTTCTAAATTGGAGCAGCTGCTCCCCGCGGAACGCGGGTTGAGAATGACATGAATGATGAATGGAAGACTAATTTTCGTCCTTCACCACAGCTTCAGTTCCCTGCAATCCATTGTGATCAAACGCCTCCTATAGTTTTTTTTTTAAAAGAAGGCTCGGGACGTTTAGTTATTTGCTCTTGATCTCATTTTTTGGCAAACGAATTGGATGATATCCAGGCCTGCGTGGCGTTGATTCGGTGGCTTTTTCTGCCGTTGATGATGATCGGCGCGTCTGTCTTCGTCGTCAAATTCGCGGCCTTTGGTATTATGTTGCGGTTGTCCACGTCTTGTAGCTAAGGACGTCATCGTTGGTAGACAAGGTGCTGTGTGAGCTTGGCTAGCGAAGTAGAATACGCTGCACATTTAACTGGATGATAGATTTTGTGGGGCTGGGAATCTCCATGTCGCTCCAGTGTTTGGTTTTGTGGATCCATCCAGTCTCCCCACCCCGCTGTGACGACATGACCAATGTACGGTTTCAAGACATCCAACGTACACTGGTAGCCGTACACGGCGCACACGGACGCTACCACGGCTTCGTGATGCCCTTCAATGGCCTTGCTAGGGACTTGATCCACCAGCGTCTTGGCAAAGCGATAGGAAACACGTAGAATGGCCCATCGAATCATGGTTCGGTCGACGTCCACACAAAAGCGTTTGACACGCCGTGGCTTTTGGCTGATGCTGTTCGTATCATCAGTCGCCAGTTCCACCGTAATGGCACATTTGGCGGAACGAAAGTAGTACCAATCGGATTTGGCTGGACTACCCGTGGCGACAATGTCATATTGCTGTTCTGTGCCATCCTTCAGAGTCGAATCCAAAATCTCCCGCCATGGTCCCGTGTAAAAGACATCGTCCTCAAGATGCCATGCCCAGCCGTACTGTTGCTGGACGACGAATTTGAGAAAGGATGATTTGCTGCTGCGGGATCGATCCCCATCAAAGCCGTCCCACTTGCCCTCGTCCTGGTGAAGGCTGTATAGACGGATTCCCAATTTCTCCTTGGCAAAGCTTTGCAGTTCCCCTAGCAACTCTTGACTGGTCTGCAACAGTGCTTGGTCTTTTAAAGACTTGTGATTGTGCAATACCCAGACATCTCGTTCGTGGGATGTAGATGTCGCCAACAAATGACGCAGCCGTGCTGCTCCACAGGCATCTAGATAACGACAGACCCAGACAATCGCTGTTCGATTGCGATTATCACTGTGGGTAAGTTGATTGTCGTCTGCCATCTGCCAGTTCGGGGGTATCTTGATTGTCAAGCTGGTGTCATGATGGACATGGGTTGACTGCTGATGTTGACTGATGAGAGGTACTAATACTGCAGAACTGTCTTTTGGGGGATCATTGGAACCAATGACCGTTGTTTCGGCCTGTGGTGGGGACAGGAAGATCCCACTGGCTTGTCTCAATAACCCCACGCCCACTCCCATTGACATAATAACCAAAATCCATCTTGTTTTCACACTAGTTGCACCATTCAGGAGACTTGTCCTCCTCTTCTCTCGCATTCTGGTAGCAGGTCTTGCCTGCACGCAACACTTGGTCGACAAGCTAGCAAGCACCCTCTTCCACGGGCCTTTTGCTTTGTGTGGGTTACTGTACGGTTCGCGCAAAATGCCCTCGGAAGCTCGGAAGGAGAAGTCAGCAGAGATGAGGAAGTTAGATCCTTTCTTGAAGGATCCCAGAGCGACATCACTAGTCTAACCAACAGCCCCACCAAACATCATTGTTTTCAGAGAGCCAGCTAGGGTCTGTTATAATAGCAGTAATTGATGAAGATTATGGTTTGATTTATGGAAGCTACTGCAGCTTGGTCAATTTGAGCTGAATAGGGATGTCGGGAGTCATTACCAAGTCAAAGATGATCTTTACTGGGGGGTGATTGGGGGCAAGTTCAAATTCAAAGTTCTGAAGAATTCTAATCAAAGTATAAAGGGACAAGGCTTCAGAGTATAGTTTGCCCGGACACTTTCGAACTCCATGGCCAAAAGGGAGAAACCCAGTCAATTTGTCAGATGGACCTGGGCATGTCCATTTCTGGTTGCTGCCGTTGTTCGGCGCTTCTTCAGATGGGACCAGGTACCTCCGAGAGGAGAATTCTGAGGGAGAAGCATTGTCGGGTCCCAAGGGAACATCTGTGGCATCTGGCCTCACCGACAAGTATCGCAATAGAATCATTAAATCTTGCCCAGGCTCCAAAGTTGCACCACAAAATGGAATTGCCTCAGCCACTTTGAACATGAGAAAGGGGACCCCATAATGTCGGTGGATTTCATGCATGAATGATTTGAGCATTGGTAATTGAGAATGTAAGTCTTGTAGTGTAGAAGATTTGGCATCCATATCAAAGTCCTTCACGTGTTCTCGAAGCTCTTGTTGTAGACTCTTGTCTTGAGCTAGCAAATAGAGAGCGGAAATGAGAGTCTTGGACGTGGTGTCAACTCCAGCTGCGATGGCTGTAAACATATTGCCCACTACTCGTTGTCGTGATAGATTGGATTTTTCCTGTTCCATGGCTCTGTATAGCTTTCCCAAGAACATTGTTTGGCCATTGCCAGTGACGTTGTCTTGTTCTGCTTTCTTGCTTCTTTCAAAGTCATCTATGGCACAATTTGCGACATGATCAAGATATCGACTGTTCTTCCAGAAGCCATCCAGCCTCTGTCCAATGACAGGGATTCTCCAGTACCAAACCGGACTTATTGTCCTGACAATAAACCCACGCAATGCGGCGAAGACACTGTGTGCCATTTCGGAGTCGGGGTCTTCCAAAAAATGAAAGTCCCGGTCCATCAAAACCATTGTAATGGAATTGGCGGTCATATGGATGATATCCAAGCTGATTGGCTGAACTTTGCCATCATTGAAGTCAAGTTTCCATTTTTGCACCAGTCTCTTGGCATTGCCCTTCATGCTGGTCAAAAAGTCGTTAACGCTATTGCGATTGAATGCTGCAGCAATGAGTTTCTTTTCTTCTTTCCACGTGGATCCCTCGGCCGAAAACACTCCTGCGGCTCCAATGGAATTGGAGGCTTCGTTTGATGCTGGATTTCGCTGAACTTTGTATGGACGTTGCTTCAAGATTTCCATGGCTCTCTCTGAAGAGCAAACCACAACAAAGCGATTTCCCGCCACATCCAACTCATAACAACCGGCATCTCCTGAATGTTTTTCGGCCCATTCTTCAAGGACTTGTGTCGACAGGTGTGTGTTGCATACAAGGTGAAAGTGTCCCAAAACCGGAAGCCAGCCAGGAACAATCTTCCATGGCTTCTTCTTTATGATCACTGCTGTTGCAACATGGTACACAACAAGCAGAGCCGCCAAAGTGTAAATCAGCACCCAGGCGTCCACTTCGTCAACGAGCTGTTGAAGGTTTGATGAGGATGTCATTGTAACAAGTAGTCTGCCTCTAGGGCCAGGTGAAAAAAGGCATCTGTTCGACCAACCCTTCCTTTGTGATGCTGCTCCTGCTTCTGCGCTTTTGTGCTTCTGCGCTTCTACACATGGTTGGATGCAATCCATCTTCACTGGATCTTGCGGAATCCTCCAATCATCAAAAGATCCACAGTTTGTCATAAATGCGCTGTTTTCCAATTTAGCCATTTCCGCAACATTTCCGCGAGATTGAATCAATAGAAAAAGCCATTTTTAAAAAAACACGAAAGACTCTCCAAAACGGGATCACGTTCAAACGGTGGTTTTCGAAAAGCAGCCAAAACTTGCTACTGGTCAGTATAAACTCGAATTTCACTATTCCGCAGCGCTCCTTTTTTAAAAAAAGTGCTACCAGTATAGCCAGCATACTCGTACGTCGATCTCACAGCCGACAAACTCGGCTCGGGCTCTCGGTCGTCGCTGGTCACCGATGCATCAAGTCCTCGTTCAGACACCACACCTGGCAACCTGGCAACGATCTTCAAGTTGATGGCAGAGTGATCCTTTGCAAATCGCTGGCTAGCTACTAGCTAGTACGGTAGAGGATCGCTTTTTGTTTGCTCCGTTTACGGTACCGGCATCTCCAGCAGTAGCTACAAACAACGTATCCGTCTGGAGGGGTGATTTACACTGCCAATCCGTCCCCAACGTAGCGCCCCATGGCAAGCCAGTCATCTCTCTCGTTGCACAAGTAGGGTGCGTAGCTGCTGGCTGCACCCCACTGGGCGAGGAGACTGCTGAATTGGATACCATGGTCCAGTGACAGGCTCGTTGTGCGGCTTATGTTAAAACTCGCCCGTGCATTTCCGACTCCGACTCCTCGGACGGTTGTAGAAAACCTGCAGCCGGCACCAGCACTGGTGGTCTCTAGAGAACAGTGCAAAGTACTGATCTGTGGTGCTCAAACTACATGTTTCAACTGTGAAAATGGTTTCTCTGTGGACTTGCTTGCTGATGCGTACAGTTGTGGGACAAACAACAATTCTGGAGAGTAGATGAGGACAACAGCTTTGGTGAACCATTGTGGTTGTTTCCAAAGTAGCTACCAAAAGCTCAGCTAGCTTCCATCTCCCCCATGCCATATGTGTGTACTTCTATCTAAGCCTTCGCTACAACATTTATGTATGTTGATCTTGCGAATATATAGTTTTTAGCTAACTTCCATTGATTCAGCCTCATTCTTCCCTGTTGCATCGTCTGCCTTTTCCAAGTCTTTCTCTTTGGGTTCCATTTCAGCGTCTCCTTCCGATTTTGCCGCTTCCTTGTCCTCTTCCCTGTTTCCATCAGAATTTAATTCGTTAAAGAGAAAGTCATTCTGATACTCCATGATGAACTTGGTAGACCGTTGTACATCAACAAAGAGTTTGTATACATGCTGTACATCTTTGAGTTCCACCATGGATGCGGCCTTGTTGCGTTTTCTTGATCGCAGTGATGCTGTCATGATCATTTGCATGGCATAGCGCAAACTGTTGGTTTCATGAGCAATTCTTGTCAACAACTCGAGTGCTTCCGGTGTCATTTCCACTTCTTCCTCGGTGCATCGGATCTTCAATATTTGTCGTAGTTCCTCTGCCGTGTAGGGTTCAGTGGGGATAATCATTAGGCGGTCCAGCAAATCCAATGGAATACCATGAGGACTCTTGTAGGTTGTACCACGAATGGTGGCCATGCCGCGGTTGGTGGCCAGAATACAAATGGGTGCCAGTTCCCCCTCCAAGGCTCGATTCAAAAAGGAGAAACACTCCATATCCAACATGTGTACCTAAGCAGCATTGTCGTGAGCATGTCGTGAGCGCGAATAGCTCCACACCATGGATTGGTGCATCATATACACACACATACATATCTTACCTCGTCAATAAACAAAACACCCGGTACCAACGTGGCCCTACCCTCTTCTCTCCATTCAGCCACTTTGGCATCAATCTGACTTCGAATTTCGGCCTTGATTTCTCCCGTGTCACCAGCAAAGAGTGCGAGGAATCCTTGTTGTCGACTGTTAATGACATCAATTTCGTGGAGCGTCACCACATGCTGCACGACCTTGCGCTGCTGCAGTTCTCCCTCGGGACACTGGACAAAATTTGTCGTGCTGCCCACGGCGTCGTAATCCCGTGACCGCGAAAAACTGCGTCCCAATTTGGAAATTTTGCCGGACCCCTTGTCAATTTGAATGACATCCCCGGCACTGACCTTTTCTTTGCGCAGCATTTCCATCATTTTGGTACCCAAGTCATAGACGGTTTCCATTTCGGTGGTGCAGAGTGTCAGTCTACCCGTTTTGCTGTATTTTCCACCATTATTGTTGGTGTTGAGGGTGGTGTCCATCTGCAGTTCGACCACTTCTCCGCAGATAATTTCGGTTTCTTCTTCAATTTGAACTCCCATGGATTGTCGAATGGATTGTGTCAATACTTCAGTGGCACTCATCTCCAAAGAAAATACTTGCGGGGCACTGAGGCTGGTAAAGGGAGCCTTGCTTTGTCCAGTGCCACTGGGCGCAATGGGTCTACCACTGCGACTTGTCATGGCGGCTTGTGACGTCTTTTCCAATTCTTGAGACAAGGCCATGGCCAAGGCTGTTTTACCCGTCGATGGAGGACCTGCCAAGAGCACCGATCGACCTCCCATAGGACTCGTCTTGATCATATGGGCCACAATGCCCATGGCACGACGGGCCTTGTGTTGCCCAATCAACGTCGAGTTGGGCAACGGCTCCAACAAGTCATTCAATCCCAACCCATGCCGAATATGAGAATGAGCCCCTATTCGTTCCAACTTGGCCTTGGTGGTCGTGGTGGTGGTGCTCGATTGAAATTTAATATTGGCCGCCATCATTGTCAAAGTCTGTGTGAAAGTGAGGTAGTGCTGGGATCTTTGAGTGGTTCTCAGACGAAAGCAGTAAGATCCAATCCAACACTAAGGTTAGAGGTACCGGTAACTCTACCCCAAGAAATAGCCTTCAGATTTGTAGGCTTCTTTGTGTGGAATGGCTTCAGCTACTGTAGCTATCTTGCTATCGAGCTAGTTTTCTACTAATATGGGCTCAATTTTATGTTCTAACCACATGGACGCAAGTAAAGTACAGGTGCGAAAAGGTGCACTAAAAGACAACCACTCTGGACTTTGCCGTCATCGTGGGCTTCGAACAACCTATGGCAATGGTACTAGATAATTCGAAGTTGGCTTCCCATAGGGCCCTTCAACTGGAATGTACCCCCTCTTCCCTGCTCCTTTGCAATAGCCGTAAAAGTGATCGGCATAGCTCCAGGAACCAGCCGCAGGACCCATGCCACTGCGGCCCCAAGATTTCTCCATGTCGGATCGTATTCTAAACCATTCATGAAACAGCTTTTTGCACAGTCGATGCTGAATCATTTCCTGAGCATGGGGTAGGCACATCCAGGGCTTTTGACAAAGTGTAAAGTGAATTGTGTAAATATCTTCCAAGGGTTGACTTCGACAATCCTCGCACTCTTCTCTTCCAGTGCGGCACTTGCCGTGAACAACATCATCAACAGTTTTCTGATCCCGTGGATTGTCGCACATGTTGTTGTAGAGACAAGAATTCAAATCTACCGATTCGCCCTCATGAAACACATCGTAATAGTAGGGAAGCAAACCTTGAAATGTCATGGAGCCATAAAATGGGCCTACTCGTAGGCCGCCCCATCCCTTGCCTTCTTGAAAATCACCTTCTTTGACAATGGCTACATATTCGTCATACACAGCAATGTCAGGTCGAAGTACGACAAAGCCACCTTGTACGGGCTTGTACTTTCTCGCTCCGTTCACCATGTTGACTGTCGTGTTGTTGTGTTTTGTTTGTGGACAAAGAGACAGTTCGTTAGTTCCATTGACCAAGGAGTAACCAAAACGAAGATAAAAATGAACAAAATTTAAACCCAGGAGTCGACTAGCACTAGAGTCGAGTAGAGTACTCACAATCACGCGTGAAGAAGGCATTCACTTTGGCGGGCAACGGTTGCTCTGGCCACATTCGCTCCACTTGCGAGTTCTCGGTTCCATAAATCATGGCGTCAAAGAGTTTGTCGAGTGGTCTCAAAATCATGGTATCCAAGTCCAAATGCACCACAGCAGGATATTGCGTAAACGTATAGGCTTCCAACTTGATCAATTCTTTTTCACCACAGCAACCATTCTCCACAATCTTTCTCCTCAAAAATTCCCCTTGAATATCCTCGACCGCCACGGGAGTTTCTCGCTTTTCCAATTGATAGCCCAGCTCTGCCAATGGCTGTACACAGCCGGCCGCTTCGGGGTGATAAATGGCGTGCATTTGATAATCGTACTGTCCTCCAAGATTGCCGTGTACGGAAGCCAAGTGAACGGCATGCTGAATCACCGCTGCTCCATCTACCAAAGAGGACGATCCACATTTGGTAATGGAAACAAAGTAACCAATTGTGGGCGCGTCTGTTGTCTTTTTTGTTTTGGCTGTTGTGCTGCTGAGAGCTTTTCGAGTGGTGGCCACGGCAGAATTCTTGGAACCTTGATTTCTGTAGGCACTTTTTCGAGACTTGGTTTCACTACCCGAGTCGGGAAATGATTCGGGGACCTGGCTATCATTATTGTTGTCGTGGTGATAATAGACATTGATCTCGACGCCCAATCGAAGGAACCACAGAAGTGCCAGCACGGAAAATATCGCAACAAACGTCGATGGCTTGATCTTTATTGTAACAGAGTCGGACGACGAACGACCAGAGCGCAGCAGTACTCTGGCCATGGTTGTGACCGGTGGTGCAGCCTGTCTCTCTCAAGGATCTTCAGCAGAGCAATAGCGTGGGAGATGTCGGTACAATAGTTGCTTCGAGGACCATAAAAATAGATAACCATTCGTGTGGGAGCTCTGAAGAGCTTTGGGGTCATGTCCGAGGTCACAATCCTGACCAAATCTTCTTTCGCAAAGATGGGGTAAATATTGTGTTGGCGGCATCCAAAGATCATTTTATTTAAGTCAGCGGGAGCTGCGATACCTCAGCAGAAAGACAAATAGAAGAAAGAGGATCTGTTTGAGATTACACTCTTCTTTCAAGGTACCGGTAGCCCTGGCGACAACACCCGACGACAACACCTGACTCGTCGTGTGTTGCCGCCCGGTATCATTCCCTCATTATAACCTTCTTTTTAATTTAAGCTAGCCCTGGCGACAACACCCGACTTCGTCGTGTGTTGCCGCCCGCTAACCATAATTTTACAGCTGTCACTCCCGTATGTACCTGTTTCTGCTGGCTTATTGTGTTGAGTGCACTAACCTTGAATAATCATGATTTATTCCTACCCCAAAATTTGTAGAACCTTCAATTTCCAGTTTCGTTGGCTTACGCCTATCTCTATCCCTATATTTTGGCTTCACCGGAACAGGAAATAGGAAATAGGAAATAGAAAATAGGAAATAGGAAATAGGATATAGGATATAGGAAATAGGAAATACCAAAAAAGGGGTAGAGGGCTCAGGCAGATACATGTAGACTGCCGAGGTAATTTTCTTTGTTTTGTGCTGTGCACGGTACCGGTACCCGTAGTCTCTCAGAATGGCCAGTGAGCCCTCAGTGGAAGTTCAGATTGAAAGTGTGGGGACTATCCAATGGATCAGAGACGATGACAGTAAAAGGGCAGATTGAATATGTCCAATGCTGTGTTGCTTTTAGAATGGGCAGACCACTCAGTGGAAGCAATGCCAAACATTGAGAGTGTGGGATCTATATCCAATGGAGCCCAAATGAGGACACCACACTAGAAATAGTAGAGCCTACTTTGATGCCTTTGCATTGGGTGCATGTAGTAAACTGATGGAGCATCCTTCTCTAAGATGACGAAAGCCAGAACAACCAAATGGAGCACAACGACATGAAGCAAATCTTGGCCAACGAAACGGGCACCGCTGGCGCAAACTTGACCTTGGCGGCTCTGCATGACTACTACGTCTTTCTCAGTTTGCTCTCCGCTTTGCTAGCTAGAGTGTGGCCCAAAGCAAGCTCAAACTGGTACCGGTATGCACTGAGAAAGGAAAGGAACAAGGGAGAAACCCACTCCACCGAGGCATCGTTTTCGGTATCGGTACCGGTGGAACCTGGTAGCTTTTCTTCGCAGAATTGTTGTTCCACGTGGAAGCAAATGTAAACCCCTTGGGAGGGACAGACAGACCTCCATCCAAACCTCCTGCCGAAAGCAACAACCTGATCCGCAGCTTCAACACATCACCACAGATAGATCTCACCACAGATAGATCTGAAGAGTACCTCGTTCAACCATGATGGCTACACAACACAACTTGGCCCTTCGCCTGGTGCGACTTTTGTGTCTGGTGGCCGCTGTTTCGGCATTCAGGTGAGCACCGCAGATGCATTCCGAATGGGCAAAACTTGCTGTCTCGCGGGCAGAAACAACGGTTAGAGTGCCGATGGGTATCCTCTGAGTCACATCATCGGAGAAGAATGAGCGGCGTCTGATTGCGAACAATCTCTTGTCAACCAATCTTACTGACACTTGTCGTTTTTGGTTTGGTTTGGTTTTGGTTTGGTTTTCCTTCGCCTCTTTCCTGGACCTCCTGATATCTAAACCAATCATTGGATCTTGTCTTGTCTGTTCTGCAGCCCCCACAACCTTGACGCCTCACTGTCAAGGAAAGCTATCAAGCCACATGTCATCCCCAGGCATTCATTGACGCAATCAAAGATGATCACCACACGGCTCTGGGGTAGATCTCCGTTCCACGACGATGATGAATTCAAAGGCAAGGATGGACTTGCCACATGGAACAGCTTTCTGAACAGCAACAAAAAGGCAGCCACGGTGGCAAGCTTGGCCTTGGTTGCATCTGCGTCCATGACTGCATTCCCAGCAATCAGCCATGCTGTGGATCTAGAAAGCATGTATGGAGGTGCCATTACCGTGGCTTCGACAACTAGCGGTTTATTGAACAGGCTCACCGAGACTGGATTCTACCAGGCCTTTACTCTGGTGTTCCTGAGTGAAATTGGTGACAAAACGTTCTTCATTGCTGGCCTCTTGGCCATGAAAACATCCAAATTAGCTTCTTTCCTGGGATCCATGGGTGCCCTAGGGGCAATGACTGTGCTATCCGTCCTCATTGGTCAAATCTTTCACGCAGTGCCCTCTGGGTTTGGCGAAGGAATCCCACTCGATGACATTGCCGCTTGCATTGCTTTCGCGTTCTTTGGTTTCAAGACACTGAAGGATGCTTTGGATATGGAAGAGGGAGAAAGTGTCATGGATGAAGAGCTAGCCGAAGCAGAAGAGGAAGTTGAAAACAGTGATTCGGTCAAGAGAACCACAACTTGGTAAGAGGATATGAGCAGTTTTCCAAGCAGATTTCCTGCTTACACGGCATGTTCTCAAACTCAATACTACTTGTACAATGCTCTGCCACCAGGGGTCAACTTGTCAGCATCTTTGCTCTCGTCTTTGCAGCAGAGTTTGGAGACCGTTCGTTCCTCTCGACAATCGCCTTGTCTGCAGCCCAAAACCCCGTCAGTGTAGGATTCGGTGCCATTGCTGCCCACGGTGTTGCCACTGGCATTGCTGTATCCGGTGGGTCTTACATTGCCAAGTACATATCGGAGCGAGTTATTGGCATTATTGGTGGCTGCCTGTTTCTCGTGTTTGCCCTGACAACTGCTCTGGGAATATTCTAAGCAGTTACCGGTAGCTATCTACCTGACCTTAATTTGCAGCTTCTGCTACCTGCTGCCGTTCATGTCATCAAATGGCGAGAGCTGTATTGGGAATGACAGCGCACTACCAGTTGATTCGATTCACTGCCTAGCTAGTTAATTTGCTCCTTCAGGCGAGATTCTGAAGAGCAGGTTGGGAGTTTCACACCCTCTTTGCTCCAAAAGAAAAGGCTGCCAAGATTCAACAATAATCAAGATGCGGTATGCGACTGGCCTCTAGCTAGCTACGGTACATGAACAGTGTACGCACCTACTACTGTAGTACCGGTTACAGGGAGTGTCCAAATTAAAACTGGAAACATCCACACTTATGATGAAGACCAGGGCAGCCGTCTCTACCCATGTAGAATGTCCGGCCACAGACACTCCAATTGGCCAAAAGAGTGGATGTTGTCCAACAATCCAAGCAACGCAAGATATCGAGATAGCAATCTAGCTACTACCACGGTACTGGACTGGAGCGCATAGGAACCAGCACGGTCGTCGGCAATTGGACCTGGAACGAGAACGATTGAATTCCGACCAGAGCATCCACCATTGTGGTTGGTACCTAGCCAGATCTAGGCAGGGACGCGAAGCGATCTCGGCTCTACTTTGCTTGCTGATCCAAGGATGCTGCCAGCGGGGGCTGCCCAGGTAGTAGCTAGATCTTGTTTCACGAACCAGTGGGATTTGTTATTCAAGAAGATCTTTGAGTCGTCTCAGGCAAACTAACATAACGTACGGTACAAACTAGCTTACAAACTATAGTTGCGGAGATCCTTCCAAGTCTTGGCCGACTGATTGAGCGGCGATCCGTCCTCCATTGGGTTCCTGCCAGGACCGGTTGGATGGGCGCGTTCTTTGACCAAGTCAATGGTCTCTAGCTGGCTATCGCACCGTAGCTAGCTAGCGGGGTGTGGTCGAAGTATACCGCCCCGTCGGTTCCTAACAATGATGAGAGAAAGATTGTATCAGAATCACTGCGATGTATGAGTTAACTCTTGCTTTTAAAAGATGATGTAAATGTAGCTAAAAGTGTACCGTATCTATTTGAACACTAGGATCCCCCCAGTAGTTGCTTTTTGGTTTTGGTTGTTGCCCTCGCTCAATTGTGTTTGCTTCCCGTCGTGGTTACATGATTTATCAAAATTGAGAAAGCAATCCAATCGCCGAAGAGGTACTTTTTATGCGTTGCTGTTTTAGTTCCAAACAATTTGTTTCTTTGGGCAATCCAGCAATTTGCTCTGTTGGTTGTTGTTGTTATTGTTGTGCTTCCCAGTTGGGAGGAAGGAAGGAATCTAGTTGTTGTTGTCATCACCACCAACCGTCGTCCAATCGACATCGACGGCCTCACACTGATCGACCGCTTCCCGTCCAATATCACTGACGACCCCCATTCGTCTTCGATTGGCTCCGGAACATTCAATGAATCCCGGTCCACAACTGCGTTCGTCGCATTTCAAGCAATCGTTAAGGTCATCGTCGGCTTTGTTGTTGTCTTGTCGGAATAGTTTGTATTTAATGCATGTGAATTTGCACTTTTTGAAACTGCAAGCGATATTGTCCAACCAGCAGTCTTCGCAGGCTGGAGTAAAGCCCACGCGTTCTGAAGAGAAGCAGAAACAAAAGGAAAGAGCGGAGTGAGATACCATTCGTTTGGAGGTTGGACTTGTCACTTGCGTGGGACGTATTCTCCACTGCTTACCTTCCATACATTTTTCGACGGCTCGTCTTCCAAAAAAGATTTTGAAGGCACAGGCGGTACTGTCCTTGGTCAAGGAATCGGCCGTGCGGCCCATAATGTCCATATCGTGCGCGGTGGAACAGGCACCACAGTCCCCACAGTGGGCCACCTTGGAACCCGCGTTGTGAAGATCCGTCAGACTGGGAAAGGTAACCCCCGTGTCGGTCAAAGGATTGTCTACGCCACACATTTGCGGTGTGGTATAGTAGTGATTGGTACCCTCCTTTCCGGAATACGAGTTGCGTTCGAGGACGGCTCCCACCATGACCGCGGTAAACAAGACGGCAACCACGACGACCAACAGGAATAGAAGGATCTTGCACCATTTCCAGCAGCAACTGTCTTCGACTTTCGTGTCGTCTTCGTCTTCTTCATGGACCAAATCCAGGGAGGATGGAGGCTTTGTGGTTTTGACGGGATCGCAGTCGACTTCGCTTCCATCATCCAGAAAACTGCTCGAGCCCGTCATGGATGTGGCATCGGTGTTTTTGCGTTGAGGCTTGGGTAAGGTATCATCATCATCTTCATCTTCACAGACTCGGATGACTTCCAAATGCTCCAGTTGGACCACGCTGCCATTGTTATCAGGAGCTCCGTTGGTACTTAGAATGGTGGTATGACTCGGAAGGCAATCGGCATTTTCTTCCACGGCAGGAGGCAGAGGGGTAGCCATCATTTCTTCGTCGTTGTGATGATAATCGGTAGAACTGGACATGATTGTGTTGCAATGAAATGAGATAATGGTACCAGTTCAGAAACAATAGATAATAGGCGACCAATAGATGTGTTGCAGTCGTTTTGTGTGTGCCTTGCAAGGGTTTTGAGTTGGCTGGAGATATCAAAAAACCTCAAAATAGAATTCGAAACTTATTTTATGGCCATCGCAAAACACCGCACACGACAGGAAGAAAACCTGGCAATCGCTCCTTCTCCGCTCCCACTGGAACACGAAAATTGGGGAATCTTGTATACATTTAAAGAGTACACTTTATTCCGGTACCAAAAAGCTTTTAAGCTTTTTAGTTAGTGCAATCCAGCATCTCCAAGAACTCTAGTTTCTCCCTCGGAAAGAAAGTTGCCCAACGCTTCTTCTCTTCCTGGAATGCAGTCTTTTTGCTAAATTAGTTTACTAGAAATACGATACTACGTGCTCCGAAGAGTCATTGCACTCCAGACCTTTAAATTCATAATCTCCTTCTTGAACAATCTCCCGTTGTTACCGGAAGTGATACATAAATAATGCAAAAAATGCTTTTCGCATTCTTCGCCGAATGACCCAAAGATGGCATAAAAGCTGATTTCAACTTCTGCAGTTGGCACTGACGTACACGTAGATGGTACACGTACGTACCGTACGTACATGTACAGTATTTCTCAAACAACAGTTCTGGTCATCATCTGCACGCAGCTCTGACGTCTACGGCTCCGCCAAAAAAAAAGTCCATCATCGGTTGGTTGGGTTGGGTTGGGTTGGGTTGGATGTTTGGATGTGGTTCTGCCGGTCTGTGCTGTGGCTGCCCGACCCAAAGCTGGAAAGAAGAGTGGAGAGGGAGCTCCTTTGGAAGCTGCTGGACAGAGCTGATTGCTAGATCTGCTCTTCTATGAGATCTTTTCCTGCTGGTGCTTCCTCCCTGTTCCCTGCTGGTTGGCCATCAGCCAGTGGCTGGTGGGCACTGGGAATAGGTTAGCAAGTACTGGTAAAGGTTGCTTTCTTTGCTACTCGAAAAGTGAGGTTGGCCACTGGCCACCATCAGCCAATAAGCTTGCAACAAGATTTTCCAGGCCTGGGTTAAATAGGTTGGGTGCAGTTGGGTGCAGTGCCGTACTGTAGAAGGAATGATCTACGCTATGTACCGGTACAGTCTATGCCAATGACTCGACTCGACTCGGTCCTGCTTCATGCACATGTGCATGTACCGGTATCCGGTGCCAGCTACAGTAGTATTCCTGAGCGTTCCCGAGAAGCAAGCAAACAGCCAACGGAAGTAAAGCGAAACCTGGATCCCTATAAGCTGACTAGCTCTAGACATGACCACCACCCGACTATTGCAAAACATAGGAACGCACAATCACATTCAACGCACGCAGCCAATGGAACAGAAGTGGAGACAGCCAGGTCCAATGGCTTCGCTCCCTGGATGTGCTAGCCTAGTTAGCTACAGGTACATCTAGCCAGACCAGGCAACTGTACTACTAATAGCTAGCTAGCTAGAGTAGCGTCTACTAGCTAGTACACTACCAATCACATCTCCCATGGCCTCCAACATTGAGCCGGAATCCGGAACAAAGCATTACCTCATTAGGGTTAGGCAGGCCCTCCATCAACGTTGAAGACGATCCATCAGCATGAGTTCATTCGATGGAAGATTCGAATCTTTCGAAAGATCGTTCGAATTCTCGAGTATTTAGTCAGCTGAGCTATCAAGAGTCTCGAAGACTTCCGAACAAGGGTCATCTTTCTACTAGCTAGCTAGCTAGCTACTAGCCTAGAGGCACGGTTGCCATCCCGAGCCAAATGGTTTTTGCATACCGACACATAGTTCGATGGTACCTACTTCTATCTCGTGAAGCAATGTTGAATGCACCTCGGCCCACAGACTTAGCACGATTTCAGAGTACCAGTACCATGGTTTGGTTGGATGGATGGATTGTAGAATTATCCTGTAGCTTGCACTGCTGCATATCTCGATCCAGCTACTCGGATCTTCATGTAGCACTAACTGAAGCTGTTTGACAACGGATCAGCCGTTCGTTCTCTCGTTCATGGGGCCTGAAGTACTCTACCAAAAATGGAATTGTGCTGGTCCTGCACCGATTGTTTTGCTTAGCTTGCTTGTAGCTAAAAATGCCTCGTCGCATTCACCAGTCTCGACGGTGACTGTGGTCACATACACGGTCTCTAACCCGCTACCCA